AACAACGTGAGTTATTTTTACCTATAATTAAAATATTCATTTATATTATAAAATGAATGTAAATGAAGAAATTGTAATAATGCCTTCTTAAATTGATTGTTATTCCTGGACAACTGTTTTGTATTGCTTGGAAGGCTATTTTTTTCCCCCCTTGGTACTACAGCCCCAGTGGGCCTAGGCCTACCTCTATGAACTTCTCCGTTCACTTCGGTTTTTCTAAATCTTACACATACGGTAGGACTCCTTTGGCGAGTGATCAGCTCGTCGCAAGGCCTCTACCTGTAGACAAACACAGAAAAACGCACACAAACATCCATGCCCTGAGTGGGATTCGAACCCACGATCTCGGCTTCCGAGCGAACGAAGAAAGTGTATGCCTTAGACCGCTCGGCTACCGTGACCGGCTTGGAAGACTATTATAAACTTTATTTCCAAGTATTACGCCGTGGTGGCAGGTGGGCGTGGAGGTACCCTCCTTACCGCCACAGCATACGCTGTAAGGGGTTAACACAATAATCCTAGCTTACCCTCAGCTAGGATTATCCTGTTTCTGGGCTTCCTTCTCTCATAAAACTGCCACCATATATTTTATGTCCTCAGAGAAGTGATGAAAGTACCAAGGGCCGGTAGCGCGGTAGTCGAGCGTTCTCTGTTGGCTGGCCCTTTCATCCTTGTCACCTCTTATTATTGGCGTAGAGCGGGCGTGTCTGGTCTGACCCGCCTCTACCTATCGTCTGTCATCTCTATGGTGGGAACTATCCCCTTACATATTGTCATAGCTCCCTCCTGGCAACTCTTCATATAGTCTGCAGGTAGCAACATATAACTCCTCCTATCGGATGATACCGCTAACCTCTCGGTCCCTGTTTGAATTCTGAGGAATTTTCCTATATGGGGCTCAAACGTTGGTAACGCCACTGTTACCACTTATTACATCTTAAGGGGGGCGTTGATATCAAGGCTACTAAACGCTGCCTGCGTGACAAGTGACCCTACTATCCCAGTTCATTTCTGGTCCCTCATCCTTGTCTGTCGTTGCCTTCGGCTGCTGCTGCTGCCTGTGTCAGTTCTGCCCTCGCTTGGGTCAGGATCGCTCGGGATCGGCCATGGAAAGGTGATTATGGAGGGGTGAATCACAACCCCGGTACATCCTACTCTAACTACCCTGTTTATTTACACTATTATATACATTATTTACAATATTAACAAGACCGACCTGCGGTCGGGACTACATAATGTCTTTACTTCATGCTACGCTTCCTCATGTTCTACCCTTCGGGGGTGTAGGCCCTGAGCCTCTCTCTCTTTCTCTCTCTCTCTCTCTCTTTTTTCGGCTAATGAGGATAAGCAATTATTCATCGTTCGACGTGAACCTTTTTCCTGGCTCCATGTCTTACTACTCATTACATACTACTACACTATCCTATCGTAAAGTTTCACCCTTAAAATAATTTACCCTTAGTTATACATATTGAAAGCCCACATACTCTATTTATCACAAAAATCAGTAGTCATAACTATAACACAAATGTGCGTGAACTGCACACTACCAGTAATCCTAACACATACACTATAACGACAGCCATATTGCCGGACTAGTATCCTAGGCAATTACTTGTTACATGATTTCTATTATTCTCCCCTAAGGGCTCGCCGGGCACACTGGAGTTTGCTTTCAACATTTTTCCTCAACACTTTTATCAACAATAATATTTAACAACATGGCTTATATGAGCAAACGTGACTTACTTGGAATAAGAGACGCAGGCCAACTTCCACCACTCGTAAGTCCCATATTGAATAGAGCCTCCGGCTGACAACTGGTTATTACGTTTAGATCAAATCCCTAAGTCTCCTGAATTCAGTAATTTATATCTTTAACTTGCTGAATCTGCGGTTGACGAAAGAGGGAAAGTTAACTCCTCCTTTCGTCCTCAATTTCCTAAGTGTTATATTCTAATTGGCTAAGGGTGATTTCGCGGTCCTCTTTGCTGCTTATTTAATAATATTACTATACTCCAGTGGCCCAGTTAGCGGAGCTTCTTACTTACGCGATTACGCATGAATGCTGATCATCAGCATTCTTAACCTAGTTCCCTAGTCCCTGTGTTGTCATCTTTGCTCGATTGCTGTAAAACACTTCTCGCAAGTCTCGAAACATTTAGGTAATGCCTTCAATTTCCAATCTCAAAATTACGGCGCAACACCAAGATACTGCGGACCCTTCTAAAATACTGTTAGATTTGATAAGGGGAGATGTAAATTCGAACTATTTCTAGTTACTATTTTGTACATATCAGAATTCTCTGTAAGCAATTCCATATTATTAACAACAAATATCACAAGTGAATATATATATAGTGTATATATATATTGGAGGGCAGTGGTAGTGTTTTCAATAGGCTAAACAATTTTCTGCATGAATCTCTGTTTTCAGCTCCAACCATTATCGAACCGCAAGACATTACAGATTGGAAAAAGGCATAATACACCATTTTGAGGGCTTCAATACATAAGTACTGTTTGGATTTTCTAATTATATAACAGGCTTTATTTAATTTACCTATGATTGAATCGATGTTTTTTTTCAAGAATTTATGTTATCCAGTGTTATACCCTAGAATTTTACCTCATTTAACTCTAATAAAAACTTAGTAACATTTTGTTTAGCTAAGAAATGCACACAGCAAGTCTTGTCAACATTTAAGGAAAGCATTTTTAAATTAAACCATTCAACATTAATCGAAACACTATATTGAGTTTCGTTTACATATATACAAAATTTAATTCATTTATTATTACAAGTTACTCTACGAACTCCGGACAGTGCGGACGTGTTTGAGAATCGCTCCGCGAACCGTGTGTTCATAGGGAAAGTAAATATAGTAATAGTAAATATAGTGAGAGTGCTCCACCGACACTGCTTAAAACGGCTTAAACAGTGTCGTGCCTGGACATCGAACAAGATGACGCAACTCCTGTCATCATCAACCACAGTCGACCTGCAATTAATGCAGGAAAACAAAAACCCTCTTCGCGGAGAACGCTCAGAGCGCTCAGAGGTCCCAAAACGAACAAGCGCTGTACAATGCGTTCATTCCATCGGAGGGGGGGGGGACCACGAAACGACCATAAAATCTCTGCATGTTGTCACTGTGTTTTCCCGAGTCCCCACCATATGTTCGTACCGTAAGCAAATTCCAGTGTCACCAACGTGCGAGCCGCGTGAATTATGCCTTTCGTTTCAGCGATCAATTTCCGTTACATAGCAGGTGGCTGTGGTATAGGATCAAAACGTTCGTTCTCTTATGCATTAATGTGCCTGGATTTTCCTACTGATTTGGTTTGGTGCATTTATTTTCCATAATATTTTTTTTTGCTAGTGGGGTGGGACTAAGTCCCTTTATTGCGGCCACTTCTGGCCTATTGTACTAGTCACAGATGATAGGTGAGGGTGATTGTGGCGGAATTGGTGGAATGGAGATTGACAGGGGAAACCGAAGTACTCGGAGAAAACCTGCCCCAGCCCCACTTTGTTCAAGACAAATCCCACTTGACCAGACCCGGGATCGAACCCTGGCCGCCGCAGTGGAAAGCCAGTGACTAACCGCTTGAGCTATGGCGCGGCCTATTTTCCATGATAGCTTTACCTTTTTACTTTTCTGTCTTAGTTTTAGGTCTTCATTTGCATTCCCACAATTTTTATTGAAACTTTTCTTATCATCTCTCACGAAAGAAAAATGAACCTAACTATAGTAATAGACGTTAGGAATAGGAATAGGAATAGGAATATGTTACATGGGGGTAAAGCTCTTTAATCATTTGCCACCAAAAATCAAATCTATGTCTAATGACATGAAAAATTTTAAAATTCAGTTGACAACATTTTTATTGCAAAACTCTTTTTATACATGTGATGAATTCTTTAGTAACAAATTTGCCTAGAAATAAGGATAATAGCATAAACAATTTTAATATTGCATAATTTTTTGTATAGTGATGTAAGACTGTTTTTTTGATATAAATTTAACACTTTTTTAAAATCTATTTTAATGATTATAAACTGTACATATATATTTATATTTGTATTATACCATATTAATTATGTGACTGGTTCTATATCTATGTATATGGATTTATGGAATATACAATAAATGAATGAATGAATGAATGAATGAATGACGTAGCTATGCTGACTTAGATAGTTCGAATCAGTCATTCATCGTTGCTGTGCATGTGCGTGCATGTGTTCGTAAATTAATGAACGAGTGTTCACTCAAGTCACCCCCCCTCCCCAGTAGTAGTCAGATCCTTCCTCTCGTACAAGAAGAGGCCCCATTTCAAAACATGTAAAATTCTTGGAAACAACAGAAATATGGTCATGGGTCCCAATGGGACTAGAATACCAGATTGACTGTGCTGGCGAGCCCCCAATAGCAATTCACCCGACTGACAGACTTGGTTGTCCAATGATTGATGTTAGTTCTCGCTAACCGAACCCGTAGAGTAGATGCCTCGTACCTTTTCACTTGAGAGAGAATAATCCAGTTTCCGAAAAGTTGCATTCTTCAGAACATGATGGATACTGTGTAAAAATTCACCAAAACCCTCATTCCGATTGTTCCCGCCATAAGTATCTGTATTTAGTATCAAACCTCTTTTCTCGCAATTTGCATTTGAGACCTACTTAATGCTCTCTTTTATTTTCGGCTGTTTATAATGCAGTATCGTTCATATGTATCGCTGCATAGTTCACACGCGCGCAGCTTCACCACCTTCCCGTTTTGAACATGGTTATTCTTCTGTTCACGGATTTGGGTAAAAGCTTATCGCGTTGCCAACCTTGTTCTTAAGAAGTGTCCCTGAGATGGTTGGTATGACTCGGTTTCGTGTACTGCCAACTCTGAATGCACACAAATAATACTTACATTTAAATTGCGTGTGTTTGTACCTCGGCTTCACGAAGTTCACGAAGTGGGTGCAGATAGTAAGATGTAAGATACGCTGCAACATATGTGGTACTAGATGATAATTACAGTTATTGCTGAGGCAGGATTATAATTGGTTAATATCGTAATATTTACGTCTTTAACTGGCGCTTTGAACGAATAGACTTTTATGTAACCAATCTGAATACTGTTTGTGAGGACTGAGACGACAACTGCAAAAAACAAATGCGATTTCAATGAGTTTTATTTTAAATTTTTAGAAGAAAGCATTCTTAAATGTGTGTATTATTGAAGCGCTGTTGTTTTGTTCAAACAAAATAAAGTTTCCGCACTTCCTCGTGGTGGTTCTAAATTAATTAGTGTTTTTTTTCCGAGTTCAGACTTTCTGATTTAATGCGCATACAACAATTTAAGTCATTCCATGTTTCACATGCAAATCCAACTCATTAAAAAGGTATAGAGAACCAGTGGTCTAGGGTGACTTAATTGTAGTTGCAGTGTATTGAAGTGGGTAGCGAATGCACTGTGTATAGATTAGTGACTTACGAGATGTAACGTCTTGTAATGTTGTGGATTTCTTGTGATGTTTCAGAGACCACAGTCTTGGGTGATTTTGAAAGAGCTTGCAGCATTGACAGATCACCAGACAGCATAGCGCCCAAGAAGATAGCAAGAGTCATAATGTCTGCTGACAGAACCCTGTTGCCATAAGATACATGTACATATACTAATGATGATCAATATATTCCCCTTCAGGACCTGGGAAGTTATTCAAAGTTATATTTTGATACATTTATCAGAACTCAAAGTCCATATCAGTAGGATTGCTATAACCTACTTCGTTCACAGCCCACGGAGCATCATGTGTGCGGAACGAATTCAAAATTTGCAAAGAATTCTTCATTCTCTTGCAACGAGAGTGCCTCGAGTTTTGCTACAGAGAGTTGAAGAAATATTTCCTTCACTGAGAGAAATCATGGTGAGTGTTATGTGCTTGTTTGCACAGGGCAGAATGTATTTATCTTCATTCCTGAATAAACAGGTTCAAAGAAACCAAATACTTTGTTGCAAGATTGTGTTAATTTTCATAATCCACGTGGTCATTTATTTTATGGATGGTTGTAGGTATTATTAGTGATTTAACATATTAAGTAAAGGTATCCCTGTAACAGGCCGTGGAGGCCCATAGGGTTGTGAGATGTTGAGGTTCCCACATTTTCTAGACAATTGGCTTATAGATGGCGGCAAGGTTGTCAGCCCTACGCACCAGCCACCGTTTACCCCCAAGAATATTCCAAGAATATTCCAGGTACTCATTTCTGTTAGAGGCTGGGTTGACCCCAGGGCCATAGTGCGGCTGGAAGGATTAGATAAATTGAAAAAATCGAATGACCTCAATGGGACTTGAACTCGCGACCTTCTGGCTTGTAGCATAGTGCCTCAGCCAACTATGCTACCATGTGCCCCCGATTTAACATATTGTGTACTAGAATGATCAATTTAAGAAGAACGGTGTGGGCAAGTTATGTATGAGGGCAAATCGAAAAGTCTTTGCCTCTATTTTTTTTCAGCCACCATAATACACATACAGGGAAATCAAAATACAGGCAGTGTTCTAAGTACCTTTGACTATTTTTCCACATAGTCACCAACCATCGCACCACAAGTTTGGAGATGCCGCTGTTGTAGAATTCAGCCGGTTGCGCGCGGAACCACCGCCGGACAGCAGTTTTCATGTCATTGTCGGAAATGAACCTCTGGCCTGCTAGGAACTTCTTCAGAGGACCAAACATGTAATCACTGGGGGCGAGGTCTGGACACTACGGCGCATGCACCATAATCTTGCATCCGAATGACTGCAGTTGGGTGGTGGTCCTGTTTGCCACATGAGTCGTGGCATTTTCATGGAGGAGAACCACATCGTCCATGAGAATCCCCAGGCACTTTTTCCTGATGGCAGCTTGCAGACGTGCAAGCGTACCACAATAGCTGCCCACGTTGATGGTGGCAGCTCGTGGCATGAAATCCAGCAGGAGTGGTCCTCAGCGATACCAGAAGACCATGACCATCAACTTCTCAATGGATGGCATTCTGCAGAATTTCTTCATGACAGGTGAACCGGGATGTTTCCACACCATGCTCTGCTGCTTGGATTCTGGAGTGAAATACAATACCCACGTTTCATCTCTGGTGACAGTGAGATCCAGGAAGATCAACTAAAGAAGTTCCTGGCAGCCAGAGGTTCATTTCCGATGATGACGCGAAAACCGCTGTCTGGCGGTTCCGCGCTCAACTGGCCAAATTCTACAAAAGTGGCATCTCCAAACTAGTGGTGTGACGGTACAGACGCCTGAACCGGGGTGGTGACTATGTGGAAAAATAGTCAAAGGTACTTAGAACACTGCCTGTATTTTGATTTCCCCGTATTTGTATTATTGTGGCAGAAAAAAAATAGGGGCAAAGACTTTTCGATTTGCCCTCGTAGCATGAGTGTGAGAAATGCATAGAAAGAAGCACATGTTACATCTGAAGGAAGAAGACCACTATGGAGAAACAGCAGGCTTCCACACTGTGCACATCTGTGGTTATTCAGAAGTTATCTTGGGAAGTATTGAGGGCAGTAGTGCTTCCATCAATGGAAAGACAGCAAAGAAACTTACTACATATAATATGCTTGAGGATGGTTGTGTAAGGCCAAAATATACTGCATTATTTATGCAAATGAGCAAAGCAAATATGTTGGTGTAGCAGTAACTATATACCCATAGAAACATGTACTGCAGTTTCAATAATAAATCTGAAATGGACAAGTAAGAGGTTGAAACACATTTTAAAGAATTGTGGTGGGAGGGTGTGGACTGGATTTACTTCTCTTAGAGTACAAACACATGACAGGCTCTTGTGAACATGACAGTGGACTTTATTGAGTTCCATGAAAAGCAGACATACTGTAGAACAGCAGAGTGACCTCCAGGTTCTATAGAAGGGATGTGTTCCATAGACTTAATAGTTTGTAATTATTTTGAAGTTCCAGAGAAGAAATCTGTACAAGGCAGCTGTTGTCAGTTTGATGCCATTAAAAAGGAAAGTATAGACTATTTCTAGCCTACTTCCTTATTTTGAAGAAACAAGAAAGTATGGGAAGCATTAGTTACTTGCTTTCCTTTGATATGACAAGTACCCCATAGAAAACTATGCACTGAACAGTTCTTCTCTTGTTTTGTGTGTTTGATACTGTGGGAACTCTTGACTCTCACATTCTGCTGCTCTTCTCACACGCTTTTTGGTGTTACACCAAATGTTGTCTCTTTGGTCTAACCCAATGTATTAGGTTCAAAATGGACAATATTTCTCTGTCTGAGAGGAAAGAGGATGTCTGCCGTTCTGCTGAGGCAGACACCCTGCACTGAAAGGCCGATCCTTCCTTTGGTTGAAGAGGAGACTCCATTGTGTAGCGTGGATAGGGAGGACACAAACACAGAGACAGTAAGGGGAAGTTCTGGGGAAAATTAATCACCTACTTCTTTTCACTACATACGAGGGGGTACCCAAAAGAAACTGAACTTATTTTTTTTTAAACTTATTTATTCAAATTTTAAGCACAAACCTTCAATCCCCTTCAAAGTACTCTCACTTACACTAATACTCTTGTCTAGTCTTTTATTCCATTTTTCAAAACATTGTCTAAATTCATCTTTTGAGATGCTTGACAGTGCCTCTGTCGTTTTTTCCTTTCATGTCTCTTTTCATTCGAGGAAACAAAAAAAAAAGTCGCACGGGGCAAGGTCGGGTGAAGAACAGGGGTCATACCATTTTTGGTCAAGAATTGTCATACAGACAGGGCTGTGTGAGCAGGGGCATTGTCATGATGGAAAAACCAGTCACCCGACTGTCACAAATCTGGCCGCTGAGCTCCAAGTGGCTCCAAGTCACTCTCGACAGCTCCACAATTTCTTCAATGGTCGGTCGTCGATCTTCCTTGATGATTTCACGAATTTTTTCAACATTTTCATGTGTTCGGGCCGTGGAAGGACGACCAGAACGAGGTTTGTCATCAATTGACATTTCACCATTTTTGAAATGGGAAAACCACTCAAACACTTGAGTTTTCCCCATAGCATCGTCCTTGTACGCCGTTTTTAACATTTCAAGAGTTTCTGTTCCACTTTTCCCGAGCAGAAAGCAGAATTTCACCGCCTCACGCTGTTCACAAAAATCAGCTATTGCAAAAATGACGATCACACAAAACAGTTGTCACTATAAACTCTGCCGAAACTAGTCCTTACCTTCTGAAGCAACGGTAGTCGGCTTATCGACTCAGGAATGTTAGCTCTATGGGCTCTTAGTGGCAAAACGCGGTACTACAAAAGCTCTGCCCACAAAAAAATTAGTTCGGTTTCTTTTGGGTACCCCATTGTATTGAGTATCTGAGATGACCTGGACCCTCTGAAAAAGAATGTGTCCAACAGCATTCGAATGCAGTGTGGCTTGAGGCCTGATAGCTGAAATAGTGGAGTCATAAAGAGACATGTTGGTAGGCAATGGTTTGGTGAACAGGTTAGATGCAGACCACATAGTAAACACTGTGTCCAACAGTTCTTGTATCGTATTCTTTGTTGTGGGAACATCTTTACTGAGCTCCACAGCAATGGGCAATCTTAGAGAATGACTCAGTAATTAGGTCTTCAAACTCCTCAGTTTCTATATGCTGCAACTGACTTGTAACCATGATCCTGATCAGAGAGTTGTCCTCTGTCAGAATGTAGAGAAAATATTGCCTCCAACAGTTCATCTCTTGTTAGCCTACTTTTCTTGTGTATCTGTGTGTATATGGTCCCTATCCTTGCTACACAATGGCTGTGTTGCTAGGTGAAAGTGAGATTGCTAGGCTGTGCATTGGTAAACACGTTCCTGTAACAATGAATTCACATGCAAAAATTGAATAATTAATGGATGTATTTCCTTTGTGGTTCATGTCATATCAGAGAAAAACAGGTAATTAGATCTTCCC